CCCCAAAACCCCAAAACCCCAAAACCCCAAAACCCCAAAATATGAGAGAGAATAAGATTTTGGAATTTTAGTGATGAGCTCTTTTGGCCTTCTTTGGCTTCTTTGCTCTCTTTTCCTTCTTTGGTTTTGGATTAGCATTTTTGAGGAGGTACTTGTAGTTGTAGCTAGAGGGTTTGAAAGAAGACTTACGCATAGTTTCAGGCTTCAAAAGGTTTCACAATATCTAAGTGGTATGTTGACTGCTCTCCTGGGTTAAGAACTACCTTAAACTTATCTTCTGAGTAATCTTCGATAAACGTCTCCTTTCTTACTTTAAGATTAGTTAAGTTGAATTCAAAATGGCCTTCGAATTGCTTTGGATTAGTACTTTCGTAATGAAGGACAAAGGAATCTTGGAAGTATAAGGAATATATTGCAACTCCTTCAGCAAGGTCAAACTTTTCTCCTTTGGTTTTTGCCTCTTGAACCTCATCTACTGCTCCATCCTTAATATTGGTGAAAATTTCACTGGTGTATTTGTAAGCGTTAGCGACTCTTTTAACGATAGAAATGACTTCTTCCCCAGGATCAACTGTGACATTGACAGTCGATCCTGAGAAAGGAAATTGAAGTTCAAGGCCTTCAAATTCGGGAAAGTTAATTTTTTCTTCGAGGATTGCTGTTTTTGAGTTATTTTGGTAGTAAATGTAACCATAGTCTGTTCCTAGATCTTTGAAGGACATATATCTAGAGATGTCGGGGGCTCCAAAATCTTTGTAAGTATATTTTTCAGACCTATTTAGCTCAAGACTTCATTACTGATTCGAGGAACCCTTGATTAACTCCACTAGTTGAGCCGAGCTCCATCTTGAGATCATTGTCTGAGTAGAGACAGAGAGAATATTCATGGATTTTAGACTCTTTAGTCCAATCGACTTCGATGAAAATTACATATTTTCCAGTATCTATGTGATCTTTGGAGTTCCAGAGCAGAACCCTATCGAGGCTGTATGCCCCATCTACATACTCGAATTCTCGGTCTCCTGTGGAGCTCTCTTTGACTACTTTAGCGATTATTATGTGAGACGGAGATGCTCTCAAGTCTTTGAATGCCTGCACCATCAATCTTGGGTTATTTTGTTGAACATAGAAATAGAAGTGACTTTCCATATCAACATCTATTTCAACAAAAGTATAAGACGATCTTGCTTGCTTAACTTGCAAACACTGGTATTCATAGTGAGGCTCATAATGAGTGATTGTGGTATTTCCATAATATTCAAGATAATCTTCGTATTTGATAAAAAACTCTCCGTCATCTTTATCATAATGGTCAAGTCTTTTCCTTAGCTTGGGTGTCCATTTGGATGATTTGTCAGACCAGTCACCGTCCCACTCTGTGTGGCCCCAAGGGTTTCGCATTTTGATAAGTTTGATGATACCTTCAGTGCTAGTCTTAAGCTCAATGATTTTGCTTATGGTGTAAGCATGCATTGTGACGATGCCTCTGTTTCCGACTTCTTCTTTCTGGTTAGGAGACTGAGAACTACCACAAACAATATGGCCCTTGTTTTCTCATTCATCCATATATTTCCACTGCTCTTGATCAGACATTGATGGATATCAGTGATCTAAGCTGGTAGATGGAGCTGGGATGAGAAAGCTCAATGAGTCATGAGTGAGGCCTCCAATTGTATTTTCGTAGTTCCCATTGATTTTTGCCCATGCTTTCTCAAGGATCAAGACCCAGAGTTCATTTCCATTGGTCTGACTAAAAGCAGGTTTTTTTGTAATAGGGTCATAAGGGAAGTAATCATCGATTGTCACTTCTCTCTGAACACCGTCAAGATATAATTTGACTATATATTTTCCTTGCAAATTCACAGTTTTAGTTACGAAGAGATCTCTGATTCTTGTTGGATCAATAGCCATGGCTGCGAGAGAGGACAAGAAATAGCAGTTTCCAAGTGCTCCTTGCTTGATGTCCTGCATTTCGACATCATCTTCAAAGACTTGATAGGCCCCTTTGAAGATATCCTCAGGCCTTTTCCATGTGAACTTCTTCCACAGAGTTTGAGTCTCGATGTCTAGTGAAGAGTTTTTGTTCATGAGGGAGGCAATCTTGGGCCTAAATTTTGGATCTTCATACTTTTCATCCTCTATTTCACTTCGGTACATATTTGAATAAATATTATATTTTCAAAGATCTAAGTCCAAAATGGGGTTTTGGGGTTTTGGGGTTTTGGGGTTTTGGGGTTTTGGACTTAGATCT